AAGATGGCGACGATCGGGGCCGGCACTCACATTCTCATTCTTCGGAACATCCTCGTATAAGGATGGGTGAGGCAAGGTTTTCTCTCCTCTCTCTCTCTTCTCTCTCTCTCTGTCTCTCTCTCTTTCTTTTAAGAAGTTTTGTTTCAGCGACACAAAATGGCCCTCAGATGGTGGAAAAGGCAATGGAACCAACAACGGCAAGAATAATGTTAATTCCGGCAAAAACGGCAAGGGAGAGATAGACATGGAAGAATTGGCAAAGCTGCTGGCGAGGAACCTCCAAATTGACGTCAATGTCAATCAGACCGTCATCCAGGGAGAGGCCGCTCCCTTGGTCCCAGTTCCACCGATTCCGCCGGTTCTTGATTATTGATGAAATTCCAATAAAGTCATTAAACCCGTTATTATATATAGAGAGAGAGCTCCAGCGAGGAAGAGCGGTAGAGATAGAGATAGAACGAGAGAGCGCGAAAGAGTGAGAGAGCGAGCCAGAGAGCGCGGGTTGTAGAGATAATGAAAGAGAACGAGAAAGTGAGAAAAAGTGCGCGAGAGGGAGAGAAGGAGAGCGAGAGAGAGAGAGAGAGAGAGAGAGTCAGTGAGAGACAGATCATCTGATATCGAGACTACCGTATTCCAACAGTTCCGGTTCTGTTTGACACACTTCTCCCACAATCATCCACGATTTATCGCTTGCCGCCGGCTTTACAATCCCGAAACAAAGTTCACGCCGAAAGCAGCTATAAATGACCTTTCCTGCGTCCTTTTGTATTCTGTGCTGATGGTTTTGCTGTGGGTGTTAACTGCGATCTTCACAATTTTAGTAGCCGGAGATCAGGTGCCGACGGCTCCATGTGAGATTCCAAATATTCATCAGTGTTTTACGCATTTTTCGAAACCATAAGTCGTGTCCCTACGGCTCCGAGCACGCCTAAGAAACTGGCAAGCTCAAAGTGAAGCCCGATTTTTAGCCAAAGTCCAAGCGAAAACTAGGCCCAAGCCAGAGTCCAAACCTAATTTTTAGCTATCAAGTCTATTTTTTACCTTTCCAGACTTTCAAAGGTGTCTCCGCCGGCCAATGCGTATTGGTGATATTTTCACCGCTCGTGGAAACTTAATGCCGAATTTGCAGAGGTAGAAAAAAGTAAATTGCATTCCAATCAACTCCAGATGGACGTGCGACCTGGAGACACAATACACGAAAAACATCTTCGTCCATCTGGATCATCGACTCTGGGGAGCGCCACTCATCGTCTACACCCATATGCCAGGATCAGTCGTTTGTCGGTTGGGTAGAGGAATGTAAAGGTTCGTGCTCTCAAGAAGGTGCCGGCCAGCCCCAGCTTTTGTATCTCGATTTTCTATTCTAATTTCAAAAGTATACCAAAATATTCCCCTTGGCCTGGCGAGCATTTTCGTAGACTTTAGAGCCCTGTAGAGTAAAAGGTAGGCGAGCTACAGTGGTCGGCTGTCGGCTGGGGAGTGGTTTGCTGGAGATCCGTCTTTTTCAGAATTGGCAACCCGACACGCAATACAGTTGGCACCGAGTTCGAGCTGAAGGTCACGTGGGTTTTGGCCAAAAATTGAGAACACCGTTCGACTGGAGGCATAGCCTTCGACTAGCAAGCTCAGGACCCTGAAAAACCTCCAAAAACCGACCGTCCAACCCGGTCTATAAGGCCCAAATGCAAAGTTTTATGCAAATATGACATGTTAAAGTTGAATCAGCGATACTGTTCCTCTGCACGATTGGACTGGACCTTAATTATGCTCTCCTTAAATCGGAGAAAAGACTCCTTTGGCCGCCTGGGTGTCACCAGCTACACGTAGCAACAAAATACGCACGCAGGAACAGTCCGCTTGTTATTTATTCTTATTCACTTCATCTGCAATATTGACTGTCTGACGTGGTCTACATTTAAACGGCAACTTCGTTATTTTCTAAATTACGAAGTATAAATTCATTCTTTTTGAGAATCCTGAGTGCAACGTCCATAAAAACCGAATACGGCAGAAAGTCGATGTGGCCGGGGACCATTTGGACGATGAAAGGTGCCCCGACATCTATGGATTCTGTCAAAATTTTTGAGGTAATTGAGAGCAGCAAAACCTCCATTACTGTGTTTTTCAATGCTACGGTGACATCTACAACATGTCATTCACCGGTGACGCGTTTGGCGGGAAAGTTGTGAGCTTTTTCTGGAATTAAGGATTTTAAGGGTTCTGTTCCGGGCCTATCAACTACTACTATCAATCCGTGGCTTTACTGATCCTTTAAAAATTAGGAAATTTAATATAGATTTAATATAAAATTTTATCAGATTTTAGGTAATCTAGTTGTTCATTTTTTAGTCTACAAACTATCTGTCTGGTTGCCCTTCATATGATTCGTACAAAGAAGAAGATAAGCATCACGAGAAAAACGGCGGTCATAAGCATTCTGATCGTGCTTCTGACGAAAGGTAGCAATATGTTTAACGATACTTATGAAAACCATAACTCTTCTCTTTAGCGACTCCTCTGAGCGGCCGAATGACAAAGGCAAAAAATCAACTGGAAAGAAACCAGCTAACCCCGACTCTGAATCTGGAAAGAGCAATGGAAAAGGGCTGACGAAGAGTGAATTGGAACAGCTGGCTAGACTGCTCGCCAAAAATCTTCAAGTCGATGTCAACGTCAATCAAACTGTGATCCAGGGAGCTGCAGCCCCTTCAGGAGCAGCACCACTTCCTCCACTTCCCAAAACCCCTAAGCCCGTCGATTACTGAAAGCATTGTGGTAAATTTGTTCAAAATACGGTAATGGATTCAGACATGGAACAAAAGTTATCCAAGGTCATGCCAAAAAAAACCGATGGGTCAAAGAGTGGAAGCTAAGGAGATGAGAGATAGCGAAAGAGAGAGAGAGAGGAGAGAGAGAGAGAGAGAGAGAGAGAGCGAGCGATAGATAGAGGCGTAGCGTGAGAGCGAAGCGAGAGCAAGACAGCGAGAGACAACAGAGAACGAAAGACAAAGGGAGAGAGATATAGAGAGAGGGGCGGAGATAGCGAGAGAAAGCGAGGCAGCGAGAGACAAAGAGAAAACGAGAGACAAAGTGAGGAGAGAGAGAGAGAGAGAGAGAGAGAGAGCGAGAGAGAGAAAGAGAAAGAGCGCGCAAGTGAGATAGTGAAAACGATAATTCAAGAGACGAGCTACCGTAAATTCCGGACTGCCAAATCACATGCAAGATCTGGCACGCGTTTCTCACAATTTCCGGGGGCCAAATAATTTATAGCAGGCCGGTTTCCCAGCTACAACAAAGTTCAATGCAAGCAGCTATAAATAAGATCAACTTTCGAAGACGACCACTTCAAGTCCAAAGCCAGGATGTGGTTATGGATATTAGCTGTGATTTTTGTCGTCTCACAAGCCCAAGATCCCGTGCCAACAGCGCCAAGTAAGTTTCAAGGTCTGGCAAGCCAAAGCTTATGCCGAAGTGCAACCCAAGCGTGTCTAGCTTAAATTTAAGTCTACTCCTAAAAAGTGATCAGTGGTTTGCAGGCTTTTATCATACTCTTTACTTATTTTAGTTTTTCAACGATGCCTCCGTCGACCGATGCGTATTGGTGATACCTTCACCGCCCGTGGAAACCTGATGCCAAATTTGCAAAGGTAGAAAAAGTACATTCCAATCCAAACAACTCCAGATGGACGTGCGATCTGGAGACGCAATTCGCGAAAAACGTCTTTGCCCATATGGATCATCGACTTTGGGGTGCACCACTGATCGTGTATACCCAGAGGCCAGGGCTTGGGGTTTGTATCTTTTTTTTATTGGAGTTTTTGAGAAGGCTTGTCAAGATCGAAATTTTGAGTCAGAGGTTAAGCTCGAGCGTTTTTTATGAGCTACAGCATACCAAATGATAGCTTGCCAAGTCATAACGTTATATTTTTTCCAGGCCTTCCAACCCGAGAACAAGTATGGCGCCAAGCCCTTCCTGCCCGGAACCACGTTTGAGCTGACCGTCACGTAAGTTCAGTTTACCCCCCAGGTGTTTTTAACTCAACTATTTTCATTTTTGATGTTTTTCGATTCAGACGTACTGTAGGCTGATTCTACAGAACAAGAGCTACATTTTGGTACAATTGACAGCTCTGTAGGACTAAATATACCCGAGATACGAAAACACACTTCCGACCTGCAAAAATTAACTAAAGAAAACCCAGTTTTATAATTGCGGTAAGACTCCCACTTTACCACCCAGTCCTGGGGGAGAGGGCGCAGGCGAAGCGGACCCTGGGGGGTAAAGTAGAGGAATCTAGCCATAATTGCTATAAAAAATTTTCTAACGATTTTTTTGGTGTAGAGAGGCTGAAAAGTTCTGGCGGGGGAGTTATAACTGAACTCTTAACCGAGGCGCAGGAAGGGCCAAAACCGACCAGGCCGGGCCCGACGCGCAATGCTGCTGATTGGGGTTATTGATGCAAACCTGCGCATGGAAAGATCAGACGGATGACTTAAAAGAAAAGCCCAACCTTCCACTAGGGAATGGTCTCCACTCGACATCGAATTTCTTGTTGCAAGTTAGCTCATTTTGTAGATCTCGACGAGACGAATCGATTGATGTAACTTTTAGCTGCGGATACCTTATTTTAACAAAGTTACAGCCCTTTAAAGTTTTTGACCTACCTTCATAAGCCCTCCCCGCATCCCCTCCACCGTGGCCTGGTGGCCTAGTGGCGTAGTAGTCGGCCTCTGGCGAATCTAACGAGGGTTCGAATCCGCTCACGATTTTTATTTTTTGCTTTTTGGTCCAAACGTTCCTTTTTGCATTCTCAGGACCTAGACAAACTCTTTTTTGATTCTTTAACCTCCGTGAAGGTTTTAGAAGGAAAAACGCATCGGAAAAACTTTACAATTTTTTTGCCCGAAGGAGTGGTCATGCTCCCCAAAAAAATTAATAAAATTTGAAATTTTGTATATTTTATTCCCTAGTAAATACTAACGCACCCCGGCGAATACAAGGTATTTCAATGTTGCAAATAACTAATTTGCCAAGGTATGGGAATGATGGGGTTGTGTCTCCGCCCCAAAACTTTCCGATGCACTTTTTATCGTTCTAAAATCTTCACGGAGGTTAAAGAATCAAAAAAGAGTTTGTCTAGGTCCTGAGAATGCAAAAAGGAACGTTTGGACCAAAAGCAAAAATAAAAATCGTGAGCGGATTCGAACCCTCGTTAGATTCGCCAGAGGCCGACTACTACGCCACTAGGCCACCAGGCCACGGTGGAGGGGATGCGGGGAGGGCTTATGAAGGTAGGTCAAAAACTTTAAAGGGCTGTAACTTTGTTAAAATAAGGTATCCGCAGCTAAAAGCTACATCAATCGATCTCGTCTCGTCGAGATCTACAAAATGAGCTAACTTGCAACAAGAAATTCGATGTCGAGTGGAGACCATTCCCTAGTCGAGGCCCAACGCGGGTAATGAACGCAATAGTAATCAA